GTAGTTGAGATTTAGATCTTCGATGAATTCTCAATCCAAAATATTTCTTCGAGTGAGGAAAAGAGAAATATCTTCGTGTAGTGTCATTGTTTTGTGGGTCTGAGATGAATGTTCTTCAAAACATAGAGAAATAATCACTAGCGGTTGAGTTTACTTGACATGTTCCTCACATAAGTCATGGGCTAAAATTGAAATCCGACCGATATGGCACATGTGAGATGGACTTTATGTGGTCAGCGCCCATATTGGTCATTTCACACCACCCAAACATGTAACGGTTAGCTGCTCCATTTGAACCGACAAGAGTTTGTCTGAGAAACCCACACTGCCAAGAGAATTGAGCTAGAGAGAAAATCCGAGAGCCTAAAATTTGTTAAGTGATTGAGCATTGCGAAGAACTAGATTGAGATGAATCTTGTGTCTATTACTTTTGTGGACTACACATCCATTAGACGGTTAGGCGCCGGTCTGAGCATCCAAGAGTTTTGTGTTGGGAAATGATGCATGGAAAAACAAAAAAATTCTACGCACACGCAATGATCTATCCATGGAGATGCATAGCAATGAGGGGGAGAGTGTGTCTACGTACCCTCGTAGACGGTAAGAGAAAGCGTTTCACAACGTGGTTGATGCAGTCGAACTTTCTTCGCGATCCAACCGATCTAGTACCGAACATACGACACCTTCGCGTTCAGCACACGTTCAGCTCGGTCACGTCTTCTGCCATCTTGATCCATCAAGATGGCGAGGTAGTAGGTGAGTTCCGTCAGCACGGCGGTGTGGTGACGGTGATGATGAAGTGATCTTCGCAGGGCTTCACCTAAGCACTACGTAAATATGATCGGGGATGTAAACGGTGGAGGGGGGCGCCGCACACGGCTAACAATTGATCTGGTGTGTGCTACGCGCCCCCTCCCACATATATATAGGTGGGAGGGAGGGAGGAGCAGCCAAACGAGGCGCCAAGGTAGGAGGAATCCTACTTGGGGTCCCTCCCAAGCCCCCTCCCCAAGTAGGAGAGGGAAAGGCATGAGGGGCTAGCCCTCCCCCTTTTCCTTCCTTAGGGCTGGCCAAACAAGGAGGGGGCGCACCAGCCCCCTTGTGGGCTGTTCTGTCCCCTCCTTTAGCCCATAAGGCTCATAACTTGCCGGGGGTGTGCCCGGAACCCCTTCCGGTGACCCGATTCTTACCCGGCACATCCCAAAACACTTCCGGTGTCCAAATACCAATGTCCTATATATCAACCTTTACCTCTCGACCATTTCGAGACTCCTCGTCATGTCCATGATCTCATCCGGGACTCCGAACAACATTCGGTCACCAAATCACATAACTCATATAACA